CAGGGACAGCCCTGTATGTTCTGGTCTGTGAGAACACAGCCTTTCACCCCAAGAAAAGACTGTAGCCTCACTTGTTCACTCATTCATTCAATCAGTCATTCATTCAATCAGTCAGTCAGGCATGCATGCATTCATTCATAAATAAGTACGTCCTGAAGGCTGTTTCCACTCATTCAACAGCACATATGCTGTTCCCACCCTCTGCTGTGGATTCACAGAATGTAAGAGACACAGGTAACAGTAAGAGCCAGTGGGTGGGAGCAGACTGGACAGCAGTCAGGGGGAAAGGAGGTGTGTGACCAAGTCAGAAGGGCTTTGGTCCCCTCCGTCCTACCACTCTCTGTGCGAAAATGTGACCACGCGAGATTCCTGAGCTAAATGTGAGCAGCAAGGTAGGGTGGCCACAAGACCCAGTTTTCATGAAGCAGGGCTGGGAAACTGGGAATCACACCAGAGATCACAAAAGCTATAGAAGGGCCCAGAACTTCTGGGTCCCCTGATTCTACATGATGCTAGCTAAATGCTAAGTACCTTTGTCGGAGCCGGGGGCGGGGGGACGGAGGGGGGGGACTATTAGGATGCAGAAGGCTTCGGAGCAATTTTAAGGTTGCTCTGATTCCAGGGAGGCCTGTGAGTTCTGTTGGTGTCCATGGGGTCCACGTGTCATCCCTGGTACACTGCTGACTTCTTTTCAGCATGGTGACTGGGAATCCAGCTCCAGCTCCACCTCTTTTTGCTGCTTCTATAACCCTTTGTGGCGGCTTCCGGGCTATCATTCACCAGGATGTAATCAAACAATTAGGAGACCAACCTGGGTCCCCAATCCTCATCAGGAAGAAGATGTCTGCTAGGCAGGGATGGGTTCCCAGCACACATGGAAGTACCTACTGCTGCTACACAGCAATGGCCAGTAGGTTTTGATTGAAGGGCTTGATGAACCCGTCAGCCCAAGAATCAATTCCCCCCACATGACCTGAGGCAGAACTGGCAACCTCTGAGTCCATGTCTATTTGTCTAAAGGAAAGGTAATGATGACCTTGGGGACTTGGGCAGGTCTTTAAAAATGCATGTGAGGAAGAGCTGGGACCCTGAACTGTGCTGTGCAAACGTGAGGGAGTCACGTCTTCTCTGAGGCCAGGCAGGGTGGTGTCCCTCACTGAAGTCCCTGGGGTCTGCTGCTACCTAGACTGGCGCTAACTATCCATGCTCCTTGTTGCTGCCCTCAGGGAGGAACTTGGAACTCAGCACACAGGTGGGTCTGCATGGAGACTGTCTGAAGACAGACAGCTGGAAATGCCCACTTGGCAATGCGGTGCAGTCCTGATATGTATTCACGGCAGGGCCCAGAGAAACTGCACAGACCAATCACTGCTGCATCTCAGAAGACACAGAGCACTCTACAGAGACAAGAATCAGTGGAAGGAGGAGGTAGTGGGTGGCATAGCAGTGGGACATTCCAATCAGTGTGGCAAACAGCTTAGCCCATTAGTCACCACCACTGGGTATCTATGGAAAAGCCTAGACGACGCTCTTCAGAATAGACAGCCAGACAGCATACTGGTTCCTACAAGATGGGCACAGCCCTCCTTCTCCTCTTCCCCTCACAGAGGACCAGATTAGTGTATATACACACACACACACACACACACACACAGAGAGAGAGAGAGAGAGAGAGAGAGAGAGAGAGAGAGAGAGAGAGACAGATGATCCAGGACACTCATGGACTCAGACAGAAAGCATCTTGGAAGCACCAGCCTCATCTTGAATTCAGTGCCCTTTGTGAGTCTGGCCCAGCCCGTGGCCTTGTTTTCCCTGTGTCTTGCCTTGCTGCAGATCCTCTGCAGATGGAGCACTTCAGTCCAGGTCCACAGCTAGCACACACCAGGACAAAGGCAAATAAGTTAGGGGCATCTGCAACCCATTCCCCTCTCTCTATAGCCAACATAAGAACAAGTCAGTGGCCCCCTGCTCAGAACTAGTTGGGAGGCCTCTCTCCTCTGGGATGAGAGCACTCTTCCCACACAGAGGAGTTGGTGCCTTTGGCATTACAGAATAGGAAACCGAGGCACAAGAACCTGGCCAACAGTGCAAACCGTGTGTAAGTAGCAGAGCCAGGGAGCAAACCCACGTCCCCTGGCTTTGTGGTGACACCATGCCTGCCTGCGCCTGCCACTGCAGTCACCAGCACAGACAGAGGTCCATAGCTTGGCTTTGCTCTCTGCCAAGACCCTCTAAAGAACCAGCAACTTCTGGAAATCCACACTGAAGCTGTAGCCCTCCAAAAGAGAAAAGACTCCAGGTAAAAAAAACTAGGGCATATGACTTTTGCCGTGGTAAACATTTGGAGAGATCTCCATGTTCACCCACAGAACAAGTATTAAATTATCTTCTCTCCATTTGATGAATAGCTCAGCCTTTAACAATATGTGTAAGGCTTGTTTATAATGTGGGAACTGTTTATGTTTTTGTCGAGCTTGGAAAAGGATATGAAAGTACAACGATGATGGTACAGTCATTTATACAAACAAGATTAAACCCGGGGAATCACAAAAGGACTTGGAAATGTACAAAACTAAAATAGAGGTCGTTTAGGGATAAGAGAGGATTCATTTTTCTTTACCTAAACTTTCTCAATTTTTCTTTGGCTTTCTACTCTGAAAATAGAGAACTTTCACAAAGTAACACCGTCAAAAAATCAAGAGTTGGGGAAGAGGAGACCATGTTAATTTGCTCCCTCCTAGCAGTTCAGAGCCAGGTGAGACGTGGCAGAATCTGGCTGAGTCCTGTGCAGTTCCTGCCTACAAAGAGGGATTTGAGTGTCCGAAGTTACTGGAGCTCACCACACAAAGTCCTCACTCCTTGTCAAGCAGCTGAGATACACACTTGGAAACCAGCTACTGCAAAACAACAACCTATCGATTCCTTTCAAAGTGACCAAGGGAACCTTCACTAACAACTCTCGTGGCTCAGGCCTGGAACAGCCTGAGTGGCCTTATCCAACCCTCAGCAAGCCATGTGGGCTCGTGAGGGAGCTGTGACCTCAGTTTATCCTCTAAGGGGATACTTGCAGTCTAAGGTATGAGAGCTGAGATCACCCCCAGGACACTAGTTACAGGTCTGAGCTAGTTGGCTCCATGAGAATCTCTGTACAGGTAACAGATACAGATGGAGACAAATGGGTTAAAACCGAGATGAAGACCCTGTCCCACCATGTGTTATTGGCAGCCTGAGAGGCAAGCACAGGGCATGATATGACCAGCTGTGAGGGAGGCAGACAACAGTGGCTTTCTCTCTTATTCCATCACATGGCCTGGCTCCTGGTGGTCTAAAGCCCACTTGGGCTTTCCAAGATTGAAGACGAGTCAACTCTGCCAATGGCTTACACCCCTCTAAGATCAGGATCATCACCCCACCATGATACTATCTGACCCCTCCCCTCACAATGACCTCTCCAGGCTTCAGCTGATACACAGGTGGGTCTTCACATTACTTCTGAAAGCATACACTGTTCTAGGTAAATGCCAGTACTCGTATATCTGTCCACATGCCAGTGTACATGTAACATGGGCTCACAATGGCCAACGCAGACCTTCCTCAACTTCTAAGCAGAACAGGACCAGCCTGTGACACACTGACTATCTCCCCCAAACCCCCCTGGGGTCCTGCCAGGGATGATCACAACTCATGGGAGGCATTGAAGCAGATAACGGCCCCTTCTCTTGAGTGTTCCTCTAGGGTACCATGGCATAGGAATGGAAGCCTTATTTCAATTTCATTGGTTGACTTATGGAATCTAGCTTAAACCTTAGTAAAATGACAGAAAAACAGCACACGGACTGCGTGGTTATGGAACCTACCTCTATTTCCAGCAGGCCTTACACAGGCACCAGGATTATGACACACCATTCAAGCCACCTGAGCTGCCCAGCAACTTGGTTAGATGGTCCTATATACTAGTGGACAGGCTTTGGGGACACAGTCCCATTCCCCAGCCTCACAATGAGATGACAGCCACCTATTGAAACTGTCCTTGGGTTTCCAGTGTATTGCTTCTTGGACGATAGTTTTAACAATGGCACTCTGACCTTCCTGCCAATTATGAAGAGAGTATCACATCCAATCTGCTAAATTTTCCCTTCAACCATGTAAAAGACCTCCCAAAAAACCACCCCTAACCTTTCCATGGATGAGCACCGAAATATCGTGGCTCTGGGGCCAACCCTGAATCACTGATTGAGGGGAAACATGGCATGTGACTCCAATTAGCAAGTCCTTCTCTGACCCCTTGCTCACTCTTCCACTGACTTCTAAGCACACTGACTTCCTCGAGAATCTCCCAAATCTCCCATAGCATCCCTGGAAGGTGGTTGGTCCTACACAGATGCCAGGAAAGGTGTCAGAGGGGGCAAGACATTTACTGAGTAGAGAGGAAGAAGAAAGAGATAACAGATGGCCATTCATAGCTGATCCCGTTAGACAATCTGATCAAATCACTTCCAGATCACAAGAAGAATCTCACCACACCCAAAACACAGGTGTCGGCTGCAAGCTACCTAGGAGTTTTACTCAGACAGGCATAAGCTTAGGTCAGCATCCAGGGCTGCAAAAGGAACACCAAGCCCTATCAACAGGGCTGTGCCGAGTAATGACGGCCTCCCATTTGGACGAGCACCAGACAGAGATAAGGAGTTCACCAAATATACTGTCCACACCCAGCATGGGAAGCTGTAAAGTTCAGTCCAGGAACATAGAAGAAGAGCAAGCAGGAAAATGCCTCATTCCCTCCTGCCACCCCACATAACTAAGGGCTACAGACATTTCCAAACTCAACTGGCATTCGAGACAAGGGTGTGGTAAGACCTACCTGGTACTGAGTTGCCTGCCTGCCCGCAAAGGCAGCACACGGTGAGGTGAACTCCTTTTTCTGTGGTTTCCTGGGGTGGTCATTAGGGTGCCCTCCTGTCAACCCACCCAGAAGCCAGAGGTAACATGGTACTCACCCCACTGCAGAGGCGCCAGCTGCAGGTGTTCCAGGACGAGCTGGTTCAGGAGGCCCTCAATGCTCGCCTCACCGCTGCGCTTCAGAGACGGGTAAGCCTCAGTCAAGGAAAACTTAGCTCCTGCTACACCCCAGAACTAGAGGAGTTAGGGGAAATTCTAGACAGATACACCCCCAGATGAGAACAGCCTTAAGTAGATAGGTCACCCCTCTGCTCAAGTAGGAGTCTACCCAATGGTGAAGGCTTCAACTGAGGGTGGGAAAACAATCTCAGAAGCACAGCGGCTTCCCCTTCCTTCACCTGCAAATCCATTCAAGTAAGGGACTATTACCGAAGGAAGAAAGAGCTACTGGGATAATCCTTTCCCAGCAATGGTTCTTGCTGGGGGAAATAAAGCTAAACTTGAGGTTACTTTTCCTTAATAAAATGTGCAGACTGCGGTTGACTGTTCAGGACAAGCAGGTGTTTTCTCAACATATACTGGGTTCGTGCTGGTTTCATGTTGGCTGTTATACGTCTCGATGTAATTACGTATGTTATTGTGAACATGCTCTCTCTCAAGTGAGTTCATAATGGAGGAAGTCATAAAGTCTCTCAGCAAGCGTCAGTGGATGAAGAAATCATGGCTTAGAAATGCAGATGGCAGGCAAAGACCAAGAGCTGCTGGGAGGCCCCAGGGCAGCTCTTGGCAGGTCTGCAAGCCTCTCGCCTCTCCCACGAAATCAAAGTCACCATACCCAAGTGCAAAGCCAATGGGTAAAGTGAGTTCCTGACATTTACTAACAGTTGGAAGCAAAAGTAGAGTCCACTTCCTACTTCCTTCTGGCAAGTCCATTCTGTTTAACAAACCTGCCCCTTGTCCCAAGGGAGACAGGGCCACAGTGGCAGGGTGGCAGTTGGGACAGAGGTGCCAGGAAAGGGCTTGATGTTGAGCCCATATGGTGAAGATGAAAATTACATGTGCCAAGTTTGGGAACAGTGGCATGGGACATCTTGTGAGCAGAGAATCAAAGGGGTAGAGGCAGGGCCAGTAAGTGAAGGGGTCCCATGATCCTAGGTCTCAGGCCAGTACATCTCTGAAGCCAGCAGCCCCACCAGGCATTTAGAGAAAGCTACACAGACTATGGCTGCCTAGAAAGCATGGCTGGGGCGGAATTGGCTGAGATGGTGCCAGACTGGCCCCCATGATGCCTAGGGAGCCTTGCCTACCCCTCAGCCTAACCAGTTACTCTAGACTTCTGGAACTCCTCAGGCCTGCATGCACTGACTCTCCCTGTGATGCTCTGTCTGTCATCCCCTTTCTGTCTCCTTCCTCATTTGATCCTTCCTTCATCTTCTCTTTGATCTCACTTCCTCTAGGAAATGTTTCCAACCCATCTCTGCTCAGAAAGATCTCCTGTGTCCTCTTCTAAGACACACACTACATCTGGTGGCTTCACCAGCAGCTTGTGAGGCCCTAGGAGGCTCACAACAGTACCAGGCTCCCACAGCTGTCCCATTAACAGTGCCTGACAGTGAATGAACGCCAGCAAGCCAGCACCCCAAGAAGGCAGCCCGGGGCCATGCTTCACGCTGGGCAAAGCCCAGAGCCCTCTCCTGAGATTAGCCCAACGTTGAATCTTTGAATTCTGCCACTGCCTCTCATAAACTTTGAATTTAAAAACAAAACAAGAGAACAAAAACCAAAAAAAATGGCTTCATCATCTATAGCACGAGGACAAGAACACTTGTCCTGAGGAGGACGCGGATGCACCAGTAGATGTTCCTGTTGTCCGTGGGGTCCCATTTCCCTCCCCTCTGGGGAGTCCCCTCCTTGCCTTGTTTCAGTGAGTGAGCCACTGCTTTGCTGGCTCTATGCCCTGAGGGATCCCCCGTCTTCCAGCACCATCTAGCAAAGGTTGTTTTTTTTCCCCCCATACATAATTCTCTCTTAAGAAGAGCCCTCTACATGCTGTGTCTCCATCTCATTACCACCCAGGGCAGGCTTGCTCAAGTGCTGTTATTATTGGCGAGCACTCTGCAATGCACTTTTAATCCTCTTGCTTGGTCCTCCAACAGTCGTGGGAGTGAGGATTCACCTGTCAGTTCAACAAGGAGGGATCGACAGGGCAGTCGGTTAGGGATACTAAAGTAAGACTGCAACCTCAGTCTCAGAGGTCACGGGCACACAGGAGAGAGATGGTCTTGCAAACAGAAGACACTGACCTCCAGCAACCCCAGGACTGGCCATGTGTTCACCTGAATGAGCCAAAGCCAGGATGTAAACAAAAAGATGTACGCCATGTTCCCGGCAGGGCTGCTCACAGTGCCAAAAGGTGGAAACGTCCCAAGTGTCCACTCTCCGATGATTAAATAAAAAGAATGCAGTCCATCCACACAATCGAATGCCATTCAGCCTTCAAAGAAAGGAAGCCTGACACATTATGTGCATGTCCCTTGAAGACAATTAAAGAGAAGCCAGGCACAAAGGGACAAACAAGTTACCTAGCAGTCATATCCATAGACAGAACTTCAAGTACCTAGCCCTTAGCCCCAACCCTGGCTGCCAGGGCTAAGGGCTAGGGATTTGAGGTGCTGGGTCTAGTTCCGCCTTGAGAATGTGAGACGCTCCCAAGATGCACGTGGGGGAGGCTGCAGAACTGAGCTGTAGGCTTCACCATGGTTAAGATGATAAATTAAAGATAAATAAAAACATGCTGACGGAAGGAAGGGACTCTGCAATTAAGGAAAGGAGCCGGGGAAGATGAGGGGCTGAAGCCAGGTGCAGAGACTGGGAACTTGCCCAGCGGAAGGGACAGCTGAGCCAAGTCTCTGGAAGGGACCGGAGGGAGACGGGGAGGGGGAGGGGCCCAGAAGCAGAGGCAGAAGCCCAAAAAGCAGCAGCAAAGAGAACTTCCCACCAGACCATGGGAACCTGAAGCTCCCCTTTGTTGGGAGACGGGGGATGTTCAGAGACCATTTGGGAAGCTGAACCATTTGCTGCTGGTCACTGCTGGCTTCAAGGACACTAAGGTCACTTTATACACCATTTAATGGCTCCGAGGGGACATTGTTCTTCCTGAGAATGGTTCACTGCTGAGCCAGTTTTCCCTGGCCATCCCAAGCGATCCTAACCAACAGTTTGGCTGAGGGCGCATCACGGTAGTGAATCCCTTGTGCAGTCTCCTGCAGTTACCCCATGTGGGATTTCCCAGCTAGAGAATATGAATGTAGAAGCCAGAGCATCCCTGTGACCACTACTCAGACCCTCTACTGCAATTCTGTGATAGACTAGCTTGCAAAAATGATCAAACCTCACCTCTAAATCAGGCATACTGGTAAACCCCTGTCTGGTCATCTCAGCACTTGGGAGTCTGAGGCAGGAGGATCAAGAATTCTTCCAGGCCTGCCTGGGCTACAGAGTGACATCCTGTCTCAAGAAACCCAAAACCAACTAAACAAACCAACAAAACAAGTAAATGAGCAAAGAGCAAAACAAAGAGGCCTCCCATGTCTTAGCTCCTGACCAAATCCCTGCTGGGTATGCTGCGATTCACTCTAAGCAAAGACAGAAAGTGATGCTGTGTGCATGGGGCTGGCAGAAAGAGTGCAGTTAAGGCTTCTGGTTTGGGTTCGTGGCTCCCACAGAACTTATTCTCTGGGTAGGTATCAAGTCCTGGGGGAGAAAGCACTCTGAGCCGCAACACTGGGGCCTGGTGAGCATCAATAGAGAAGGGAGCTATAACAAGAGTGTTAGCCATTCCTTCTAATCAGATGAATGAGGAGGTGCTTATACTTGAATAACCAGAGGCCAGGGAGTTCAGCAGCTCAGCACTAGCCTGCTTAGTGATGGCAGAGTGCCCACAGTGAACTCCATTCTGATCCATTAGCTGAGCTGGTACCACATCACAGCATCTGCGGAAAGGGAAATGCCTTGTTTGGGAGCATAGGTGTGTGCACTGGCCAGAGCCCATGCTGAAAGGTATATGTATCATGTTCCTGCCATAGTGCTCAGCTGGAAATGGGGGCAATAGAAAGTTGCTGCTGGAGTCAAGTTTCCCACCATTATATTAACTGAAAAAGCAAAATGCTATCTCAGCATAGATTAGATTAAAAACATTAGAAAATAAGACTGGTTAGCACTCATTTCAGAGAGCAATTCTGAAAGTTTACGTAAGGGAGCAGATTAAAGATGTCCCTGTGGAAAGAGAGGCAGGGACAAGGCAAATAGATAAGCCAATTACTTTCTAGACGTCTCTGACCATGTGCACCCATTTAAAACAAGGTGATAGTTATTTGAGCAGCCAGCATTAAGAATGAAAGCTGGTGTGTGGACATAGCTTGGTCCCATAATTTCCCACTCTAGTCTGAGAGGAGGAAACCCTGAGTACAAATCTCCCACACCTTTGGGTTAAAAATGCTCATTTTTTTTTGTTTGCTTCTTTCTGCTTTCCTTCACAATTCATCCCAAGGTTTACATTCTCTTACATGAGATTAAAACCTCAGAAGGTGGGACATTAGTTATTTATTAGAAACTTGTAACCAAGTCTCAAGGTGGGCAGCCGAGCCCATTCTCCTGATGAACCAGGGTGAGAGGAGAGGGCTGAGGGAGCATTCTGCCTGTTTCTGAATCTACTTGCTTTCAGATATGAGCCACAAAGGGTATGGCTGAGCTAATAATGCTGATCCTGTATGCACAGCCTCTCCCTTGTGGCCCTAAAAGCCACCAAAGGCGTCTGGTACCTGAACCTGAACCCACAAGAGGCCAAGCTGGTCAGCCAAGGTCCCTGCCTAGGATGCACCACCACAGTACAGACAGTGGCAGCTAATTCTTAATATGCACATCTTGGCATTTGGGGTGAGAGATAAATAAATTATGGTGGTGACAGAATCACTCTGCTCCTGTAGAGAAATTTCTAAGGTGCCGCCTATGGGAAGGGCCCTATAGTAAGCATCTACCATGCATATTCTCTGACAATGATTGAAATTTGGACTTCAGAGCATGCTGGCTGTGGACAGGGACTGTTATTTTCATGTTGCTGCTGTTCATGTGTATGTAGTATTTGTTAATCATTTGGTCAGATTCACCTTCTTGGCTACTTTTGTTTTTTTTGTTTTTTGTTTTTTTTGTGCTCCCTTTTCTCCTTCTCCTCCTCCTTCTTCTTTAAACAGATAGCCTTACTTTGTAGCCTAGTCTCACTCTGTAACCCCAGCTGACCTTAAAGTCATGGCAATCCTCCAGCTTCAGCCTTTTCAGTCTTCTAAGTGCTGGGATTACAACGGGAATCGTTATGTACTTCCATCACAGATTTAAAACAGCCACACCCTGCCCCCAGTTCTCAGGCCTGTGGCGGAAACAGGACAGTTTGGGTGTAATAAAGTGGACAGTTGAGGTTTGAACCCAAGCAGGGTGACCCTGGAGCCTTCTGTCTGCAGACCACTTTACACACTCCTAGACACACTGTGTGAATACTTCACTGTACACCTGGAACCCAGGAGTCAAAGCTTCTGTCTGACTGTGAGGACACTGCTGCCCACAAGTTGGGTCCTATCAGGGCCAGTGCCTGCGAACAGCTGAGACCGCAGCCAGACCTGTCCCATCCTTCCAGACAGGGACAAGCCTGGCAGAGAGCTCTCCATGGTGCTGAAGCATGACTCCTCACTGTCACGGGCAATCCTGGTGCTTAGAGAGGTTTTCTCCACACTCTGTAGGGTGTTAGACTTGCCCTGCAAACCTTCCGGAACAGGAGTGAGTCCCATGAGTCAGGTGGTCCTCTCCAGCAATGCACAGGCATTCAGATTCAGTACCTTCCAAAGGGCTCCCCAAGAACTGGGGCACCTCACCAAATCAGACCAGCCTATTGCAAGAAGGCTCACCATCTTCTATTTCTCAGAGCCCCTCTGTGCCCACCCATCCTTCTTGGGACAAAAAAACTGGACTCCCTGTAACCCAGCATAACATACAAGTCTCTCATGACTTGTTTTCCCCTCCCCTCACTCAGCATTCATGTTTTCACATGTGTGTGCTCACGTGTGCCATCCCAATAATTTGCTGCTTACTCTTCCACATCATCTTCCTGGTTAGCACCCACTCATCTTCTAGAGGGATAAAAAGTGAAGTAAGGGAAGAGTCTGCACAAATGTCAACCAACTAATTAAATAAGAAATAAGAATAAATGACTAATGGTGGTAGTTGACAAGAGCCTCTGCTTGGTCTTCTCATGACGAGCACAGGTGATGGGTGTGAACCAGTCACAGAAGTGAGG